ATTGCTCTAAAGATCTTCAAAACTCAGCAGCCACAATGAGAGCTTGCATAAGGGTATTTAAAAAGAATCTCCTTAGGGTTGGAGTCTTCTACAAGGCATAGGACTCCAACCTTGATTTCCTTCCATAAAAATAGCATATCTAAGGTAAGTAGATCTCCTCTTCTCTCTCCATAATCTTCCCCACACACACACGGCTCTCCTTTCCTTTATCACTAGCACTTCCAATTTCCTACAAAATAAAATACCATAATAAGATCCACAATATCTTATATATGGAATAGAATAAACTTAATTAAGGAAATAAAATAATTGAAGATCTTCCCTTTTTATGTAGTTCCAGGTGCTTGTTCGAACCAACGAACTAATGCCAAAATAAAATATCTTTCACATAGCCTTAATATCGACAATATCATGCTATTAATTAAAAGCAACAACTCAGAAGCATACACATGTACATACTATACGTAATTACCACAACCTATCTTCACACAAGTTATAACATTATTTACTGACCCTAGTAAATGGTAGCAATAGCAGTAAGTAACTGTATATGTCTCGTCTCTAATTCGCTAGTACTCAATTGGTATTGTTTTGAAGCCAATAGTTGGCTCCATAATCAGTGGCGGAGCTACACCTTGTGGCTGGGGTCAGCTGACCCCTATGGATTTCAAAATTTTTAATATAAAATACTGTTCAAACACTGTTTACTAGGTTAATGACCCCGCTAAAAAATATTGCCGACCCCGGTGAAATTTGAGGCTGGCTTCGCCCCTGTCCATAGTAGAGTAACATTCTATATACAACAAATAAACCTATCGCACTACTAAAATTATATTATTGTTATTTAAGTAATCATAAAATATGGTAGGTTTACTTGTTATATATAGAAGGTTGACTCCACTATGGAACCAACCGTTGGCTCTATAGCAAAATCGAGTACTCAATTTGGTGTTCTATCTACCTCACATTTGATTTTTTTTTTGTAGTTGGTAGTTTTAATTGGTTGGAACTTAAGCATTTAATATTATGCAAAATAATTAAGTACTGACACTAGTATATATTGGATTATGTACATTTACACATATATAAATAAATCATTACTAGTATAACACCCGTACGTGTATTACACGGGTGCTTGTTAAAAAAATTATTCTTATTGTACCAAAAAAAAAAATCTTAAATTTTAAGATTAATGAAAAAAATAGTATTTTAAAATTTAAACATTTTTTTATAAAAAAAATATATATATTATTATATAAGTTAAAATGACATTTGTTACTTTTGCGACTTACATGTGTTATATTATACTAATTATTCTAACTTATATCATATGACTTACTTTAAACATAAATATACTAAATGATGAATAATTTTATTTTTCTAGTTAATATTAAAAAATAATTTTTTTATTATTAAGATTATAAATATAATTTATTTATTTTGTAAATACAATATGAATGTCAAATCAAAAATAATCAAAAGACAATTAATTTGATATAACACATGCAAAACTGGTAAAAGATGCAAGAGTTATAATATAAATAATATTAAAATACGATTAATACATGTAAAATGACCGTAAATAATCAATATATTTATGTATAATCCGTACCTAATTATTTTTGTATTGTAAGTAGATTAGAATCAATCCAATTCAAGTATTGAAGCATGACTTTTTGCCACATAATATATTGAAGATTGCAAGCATGCCACTTAGGCTCAGCACGTTCGGTAATTATATATAAGGATAAATTATTTATATGCATATAATACTAACATTATTGTAAGATAATAGTATTAAATTTGAAACATGAAGTATTATAAGTTATGTTTATGAATATAATATTAAAATTATAAGTTATCACTACAAAATAAATGTTATATTCCAACGGAAAATCTTATGGTAATATATTCCAATGGAAATTCCAACAGATATTCCAATGGAATAGCTTCCGTTGGAATAGTTCCAACAGAAATTCCAACGAAAATATTCCGTTGGATTGTGTTTTTCATTCGAATTTTAGATGGAATTTGATGATTCCAACGGCTATAATTTCAACGGCTTTTTACCGTAGGAATTTCCGTTGGAATATGCAAATTCCGTTGGATTTTTTTTTCCACCCCCGTTGGAAAATCCACCGTTGGAATCGTCAAAATCCAACGAAAATTCCAATGGAAAACCTATTCCAACGGAATATTTTCGTTGGAATTTCCGTTGGAATCCATTGAAAAATTCCAACGGAAATAATAGTATTGAAATATCCGTTGAAATTGCCGTTGGAATAATTATTTGAAATATATTTCCGTTGGAATTTCATCATTTTTTTGTAGTGTATATAATGATATTATATTTTAAATTTGATCATTGGTTAAATAAATAGAACATAACTATTTTGATTGCATATGAATCACTGTACTGATTGCATAAAATGTAATAAACAATATAATATTTGTAATTTTAAAAAATTATTACCAAATAATTTGCATAAAATTATTAAATTTATTATAAAAATTGCTTATGCGATTTTAAGTGATTTTACTATAACATTGAAAATATTAAATTTATTTACAAAACAATGGCTCATTCAGGTAAAAAAAATATAATATTGATTTTAGAATAAATAACTTGAACAAAAAACTTTACAATATAATATTTTATGTTTATGTAACTTTCATATATCATTTAGTGTAAAATATATGCTAATTCTAATAATAATTATTATATGATACCAATATAAAAATATAATTATTATTCAATTAATATAAAATGTAACAATTTCTGTCTTAATTAACATAATTAATTTTTGCAAAATTAGGTTCCACGTATGTATAATTTATGATGTTTAATTTAATGGATTGCTAGAAATTATCATAATAACTATTATATATATATATATATTAATATATATATATATATGTATTAGCCTTTTAACTTAAGGAGATAGTAATAAATAA